CAGCTAAATCCAAATATTCATATCGAAAATTTTGATAAAGATTACTGCTGTTCTGATTCAGAATCTTCTAGCTCTGAGTCTGAATAATCTAGCTAGTCCAGAGCAGTGATCACGTAATTTTTTTCGTTTGAAGATACAATATATAATATGTATTATGTATGACGCAATCAAGCATCTTTTATTTACCAGAACTACTAGAACAGATTTTACATTTTTTAGCGATAGATAGCTTTTTATTTTTCGAGCTAAATTTATGAGAAAAAGGATTTATGAGAAAAAAAATACTTGACGTTTTCCGAGACGGCCCATCCCAGAAATTTTTTGGTAATTTCAGAACATTGAACAATTCCTTTCATAATATAAAATTATTATTGATCATGTCAGATAACGAAGCTAACCCATCTGAGCTTGAAGTAATGAGACAGCATATCATTAATCTAGAGGCTGAGAACTCTAAGATTAAGACTGAAAAAGCTGAACTTGAAGCTAGGGATGCTGAGCTTAAGACTAGAATCGAAGAGTTAGAAAAAAATAATGGAGTTACCCCTAAACTCGTGTCTGAGAATGCTGAACTTAAAGCTAGAGTTGCAAAATTGGAGAAGGATTACAGGCTGATGCAAAATGACTCAAAGGGAAATAATGCTACTATGGTAATTGATTCTCCTAACGTTAGCTCTCCTAACTGCAATTCTGATACATCATTACCTAAAGAACCAATACCAGAAGTTTCACCTGCTAATTCCAAGTTATCGAAAGAAATGGAAATAAATACTTACTTGGATGAGATGTATAAGAAAAATGTTAGCGATAAGGTTAGGCAGAGAAATCGGGAAAAGAAACTTCAAGCCCAAGAGTCCCATCCTGAAGAGAAAAAACCTCAAGAGCACAACTCGATTATCCAACTATGTAATAATTCGACATCTGAAGTCAGTGAAAACGTCGACCTAGGTTCACTTAAGTCTCCTACCTCTGATCTAGTGATCCATGATCAAAATGGAGTTGCCGGGGATAATAGATCACATAAGAAAAAAGGAATGGATAAACTCAAGCACGAATTATTCAATCCCCTTTTGGGATCAGATAGTCCAAATAATGTGACTGAAATTTTTATATGTAAAAAAGTTACCCATGATAACATTGATAAAGCTTCACATCATCTAGCTCAATTATGTGATAAAGCTATCGATGCTGAAGATAGAGCAAATCAAGCTAATCTATGTTAGTACCTCTACTAGAAGGATTTCAGAAATCAGCTTGATGAGATTATCAAAAGCGGGGATGGAAAATTTGGTGAAAAGAAGGCAAGAAGTATTCTTTATGATACTATCACAGAACAGCTTTCTATTCTCCGCAAGAAAATATCACAAGAACTGGAGATGCAACTTCGGGACGTATCATGGAATAGCTTGCGTAAGAAAATCCAGAGAGCTGAGAAAAACTATAAATTTTTCAAAATAATGGGTCTAGATAAGATCAAGTATATCAATTCTTATAGTGCGAATTCTCTTTCAGAGCTTATTAATGAGCAAATTCAAGAGATTATAGATTATGGAATATCTTTGAAAAAATTACCTACAGATCAAGTGATCGAAATTTCTGAGATGGCCCGTCCCAAAAAAATCTTGCCCATATCTGAAGAAAATTCATCATCCACATCTCAAATCGCTTCAGCTAAGGCAGACAATGATGACGATGAGTATTTTTATTCTGAAGATGGGGAAGTGAAAGGAGCGAATGAAGAGGTGTCAAAGGTGTTAGCAAAGCTAACAGATGATGATAGTGACTGTAGTCATGACAATAATTCTGAAGAAGAGATACCATATGGATCGGATGATGATGATGAGTATGATAATAGATACGGTGGTTATGATGGAGGTTATTATTATTGTGATGGAAAATATGAAAGGAAAACATCACCAATGATGAGTCCTATTATATCTCCGATATCTGGTTAGGAGAATTATTAGGTGGATTGTATACTGAATTATGCGAAGCGCCTCTTTGGTTGATCAGGGCTCATATAGGTTTATTTTTTTTAGCTGAATCGGGATCAGCAAATTAATAGATATTAGGGTTGTCATATTTGTTTCGTGTTTTGCGATGATCGTAGCATCTGGGATGATGGTTCCTTTGTATTCGTATTATGTAAAATTGATTTACGATTTGTCGATTTCTAACCCATGATGTAGCATAGTAAAATATTCCAACTGTCAAGGCTATTTCTGATTCCTGTGATCCAAATACTTCATACCTTAGCTTGTTTTAAAGCTCTCGATATTCTGCATCTGATCGAACTGGGTTGGCGTTTCTATGACTTCTGGATCAGGTTTCATAGACGATTGAAGTTACAATTCTTATATAGTGTTAATAATATATTTTGGGATCACTGGGTAGCTATGAATTCTTACATAACAACCTATAAATTTCTCACCTCCTTTTGGTTCCCAGAATCAAAAACTAGTATTTTGTAGGTTGCCGGATCATCATCACTTCTCACGTCACTTTGGTAATGTGGCCTCTCCAAGATTATTTCGTGATTATATCCAAAATAATTGGTTTTACTAATTTCTGAATAACTACGCATCCAGTGATCAGATTTTCACGAAATTTGATTTGATAAATATCCAGAACCTGCTGAATCCAGACGTTCAATCCTCATCAAAATTGGGCTGGTAGATGTTGATATATTTGCGTTCCTAGATCGTTATGGCAAGTCGGACCCTCCCTGGTCCTTTGAACCACAGGAGATAACCTAACCATTTTAATGAATTTTTTTTGAAATAAGAGTAAGAAAAATAATGGTAAACTTTTCCCTCTCTTGATCGCCTGGGTCTTGACTGAAGGAGGATGCTAATATTCTGATTGATAAGAGACCTGGCACCCCGCAGTACTCCTATTTTTAGACCTAGATGTGCTATTTTCGTAATAATGACTGATGCTATTTTGTAACAATGAAGCCAGGGCCAAGATCTTATTAAATACTGTCAGATATTTTGCAAATCTTTGGGAGGCAGATCGTGGGTCAGATCGTGGTGTCAAATCAATAATTATTCTGGTAGTGATATTCCCTTTTTTCCAGAAAGTTCTGGCATAATTTCTTATTTTTTTGCTCGAAAGTTCTAGAATTATTTCCATTTGTGAATTGATTTTCTTTTTGGTAGTTTTATGATTTACAAGAGGTAGGTGATACCAGATTGCTACGTAATGCAACCTTACTTTATTAGTATATTTTTGACAACTGAAAGCCATAATTCATAAGATTTTGACTTAACATAATTGTGAATCTAGATCTTCGTCTATTCATATTATCATTTTCATACACAAGCGCTTTTAGCCAAATGTCCAGATCCATATTCTGATGCGGATTCTTTATGCTAGTATATATGGGCATTTATTTTTGCTAGGCGATTGTAAAACATATAAAAGGATTATTTCTAGAGAAGCGCTTTGGTATTTCTTATCCTACAAGAAATAAAAAAAAATAACAACTTCACATAAAACTAATAAAACGCTATCTAAAAAATATTCTCAAACTCAGATATTTTCTAGATCGCAGTTTTCGGCATCACAATTGTATTTTACAAGATGCTGACCTGTGATGTCCTAACAATGGATATGATCCAGAGCATTTTTTCTGAAAACGTAAACATTTAAATAATCGTTACCATTGCTATCATCTTTTTTCGCAAATATCTAATGGGATCACGAGATAATAATCTTTAAAGAACCATCTTAACATTAAGTAATGAGCTTTAAAAAATGTGTACAGAAGCTGAATGGAGAAATGATGCGACATCTCAAGGTAGGTCATTATCTTCTTGACACTAAACTCGTTAGAAAAAAAAATATTTGATATATATATACTTATCCGCGTCTTACTACGCCAATTTCTAGCAGGATCAAACCGATTCTCTTCTACAAGTCACGTTTCTATGAGGCAATATTCTGAGTATACGGATGAATATGAAACATATTGGGTCGAATTTATGGCTCTTTTTAATAATAGGAGGAAAAGAGAAGTTCGTTCACCAACACAATTGTACAATATTTTATCGATCGAAATCGGACTTAGTGCTAGCACATTAGCTAGTTTTTATCATCATCAAAAATCATCAAGAAGGACTTCTATAGATAAAATTATCGAATGGGTTGAAAAGGAGGGAAATAAGAAATCAGTTAGTTTTTCTGATAGTAGTAGTAGTAACAACAGTAGCAGTAGCAGTAGCGTTAGAGGAAGTATCGTTGGAGGTAATATTGCGAAATAACTTGATGCTGGGACTCTCATTTATGGTTTAGGATCTGAGAACTCCCTTCCTCTTTGATAGCATCATTTATTTCAATCATTACTTTCTTCCGGTCTTTCGATCTATTATCTTTTTATTTATTTTTTACTTAACAGATCAGCTATATTACATAATGATAAATAATAAAAATTTTACTTTAAATTTTTAAATGTATGTCTGCTTTACAAGCTATGAAAATATAAAATTTACTAAACTATTTGCTATTCTATACTAACGAAAAAATCTTATTCCTGTTGCTCGTCTGACCCTTTACCATAATTGATGGTAACATTGATTACATTCGCATTTTGCGAAAAAGAAGGAATAGTTGAAGTCACGGGTCTGGAGATGGGGGTGTTTCGATAGTTGATGATGTTAGTGATATTAATGATACAGGAGAATTTTCGATGGTTTTAGATGATGATGTTTGTGGTCTTGATGGTACAGAAGATGATGATGAGATCGCTTTGCTTAACCTCCTAACGCTCTCATTATGTGTTCGTTCGAATGGAAGATCTAGCAAAATTAAAATATATCGATATTAATAATGTTCACTAGCGAC